CCCGAATCCCAAAATCTGGGCGCCCAAATCCCAAATCCTGAGCACCCAAATCCCTGGGTCCTAAATCCCAAATCCTGAGCGCCCAAATCCCAAAATCCTGAACCGCCCCCTGACCCCGCTGACCCCACCCCAATTTCTCCCCACAGGTCGCTGGAATCGAGGGGGTAGAACCCCCCAGGACCCCCCCAGACAACCCTGGGACCACCCGGAACACCCCAAAATCACCTGGGACCCCCCCCAGGACACCCCAAAATCACCTGGGACCCCCCAGGACGCCCTGGGACCACCCAGGACCCCCCAAAATCACCTGGGACCCCTCTGGGACCTCTCTGGGACCCCCCAGGACCCCCCAAAGTCCCCCCGGACACCCCAAAGTCACTTGCGACCCCCCCGGGACCCCCTGGGACACCCCTGGGACCACCCGAGACACCCCAAAGTCACCTGGGACCCCTCTGGGACATCTCTGGTACCCCCCAAAATCACCTGGGACCCCCACCCAGGACACCCCAGAGTCACCTGGGACCCCCACGGGACCCCTTTGGGACCCCCCAGGACCCTCCAGGAACCCCCAGGATCCCCCAAAGTCACCTGGGACTCCCCAGGAACCCCCAAAGTCCCCCTTGGACCCCTCTGGGACCCCCCAGGATGCCCCAAAGTTACCTGGGACCCCCCCTGGGACCTCTTTGGGACCCCCCAGGACCCCTCTAGGACCCCCCAGGACCCCCCAAAATCACCCGGGACCCCCCAGGACCCCTCTGGGACCCCCCCGTGTACATTGGGGGATTTCTGTACAGTATTTATTGGCGACTATTTAAAGTTGTGGCCCAGGTGGGTCACCTGAGTCACCTGAGTGTCACCTGAGTGTCACACCTGTGTCACCTGTGTCACACCTGTGTCAACTGTGTGTCACCTGTGTCACCTGAGTGTCACCTGTGTCACCTGTGTCACCTGTCATCTGTGTCACCGGTGTCACCTGAGTGTCACCCCTGTGTCACCTGTGTCACCTGTGTCACCTGTCATCTGTGTCACCGGTGTCACCTGAGTGTCACCCCTGTGTCACCTGTGTCACCTTTGTCACCTGTCACCTGAGTCACCTGAGTGTCCCCTGAGTGTCACCTGAGTCACCTGAGTGTCACCCCTGTGTCACCTGTGTCACCTGTGTCACCTGTCACCTGTCACCTGAGTGTCACCTCAGTGTCACCTGTGTCACCTGTCACCTGTGTCACACCTGTGTCACCTGTGTCACCTGTGTGTCACCTGAGTGTCACCGGTGTCACCTGTGTGTCACCTGAGTGTCACCTGTCACCTGTGTCACCTGTATCACCTGTCACCTGTCACCTGAGTGTCACCTCAGTGTCACCTGTGTCACCTGTCACCTGTGTCACACCTGTGTCACCGGTGTCACCTGTGTGTCACCTGAGTGTCACCTGTCACCTGTGTCACCTGTATCACCTGTCACCTCAGTGTCACCTGTGTCACCTGTGTCACCTGTGTGTCACCTGTGTCACACCTGTGTCACCTGTGTCACCTGTCACCTGAGTGTCACCTGTGTGACCTGATTGTCACCTGTGTCACCTGTCACCTGTGTGTCACCTGTGTGTCACCTGTCTCACCCGTGTCACCTGTGTCACCTGTCACCTGAGTGTCACCTGTGTGACCTGATTGTCACCTGTGTCACACTTGTGTCACCTGTGTCACCTGTGTGTCACCTGTGTCACCTGTCACCTGTCACCTGAGTGTCACCTGAGTGTCACCTGTGTCACCTGTCACCTCAGTGTCACCTGTGTCACCTGAGTGTCACCTGAGTATCACGTGTCCGTCCCCAGGCTGGGTGGGGGGGGG